TTAACCTATGCTACACGGTACGTTTTTCCTCTATTTTGATATAATTCTTATGCTTGTATATTAATTTTATTTCTCTCAGTAAAGTTTTTAAAGGAAAAAGTAGCTCCTGGAGCAAATAATGACAATGTCAAAAAGCTTTTTTAATATTTGAATATGATTTATCTAATTCATTTGGGATAATATGAGATTAGTTACAAGACAAGATCCAGAATAATTGTGATTTTCAATAAGAAATACTAGCAAATAATGTTACTACTATTATTTATCAATAAATAAAAATTCACATAGCAGAGTATAGAAATTAATATAAATTACCTTATCTAATCAAAATGACAAATGAAAGATCGATTAGGAGTTAAGAATTATGTATTTCGTAATTGTCCCATAGGGTGTCATTATTTACCCATAGGCTGGGGCAAATAGTGACAAATGTAGATTTCAGTTTTTATGAAAATCTAGCACGGATACAAGATTTATGGAAATTCTAATTAAATTTTTTGTATTTTTAAAAGTGGAAAGTACTTTTTTAGAGAAAAATCATATCTTGTAAACTTGAAATTAGCTGGTAAGGGAAAAAAGAAAAAATCCGTAACTATTTGCCTCCCTCCTTCCCTTACTTAATGTATCAACAAAAAACATTAGAGCTAAATATGAATAAGCAGGTGTGAGGTTTTAAAGATTCTTTAATTTTAATATTTTTATTTATAACATTTATTTATATTATTTATCAAAATCTTTACATAAACACCTACATGTAATACAATATTCATTATTTTCCAAAAATATTATTATGTAATAAATTAAAACTATTGATCTTCATTTTTTTCTTATTAAACAAAATATGGGCATCTATTGCAGTTGTCAATTACAATTAGATATCCGAATTTAAAATTGTAATAAAACTTGTAATTATTATTGATAAATCACGTTTTATAATATGTTTTTAGAGTCATATGTAGTACCTGCTGGAACAATGTTGTATATGTTTTTATACGGAGCCAACAGAGACCCAAATTTTTGGCCCAATCCAGATGTATTTGATCCAGACAGATTTTTGTCCGAGAAGATCCGAAATCGTCACCCTTATTCATATTTACCATTCAGCGCTGGACCACGTAACTGTATCGGTAGGTTACATTATTTTTGTACTTTTATATAAACAAATTGCGATATACATATATTGTATAATAGGCCAACGATATGCAATGCTGGAAATGAAG